GATGAAAGGACATACTCCGAAGTAACTTGAAAAAAATACACTTTTGAGCGTGGTCCAGTACACATGTGATGTGCGTATGTGACTCCTTTGACGAAGAACTTTAGTCATAATGTTTCCGACCACAATAATTGGTAAGGAACAGACCCAGGTTTTTTGGAGTCCGTCAGAACTTCGGTGGTGCTGCCGTTGGTATCCCAGGCTTTGAATAGCAATCTGGCGATATTAGCACTACTGCACGAGCAAATGGCAGAGAGGCCCGATATTCCAGGTAAGAACAAGCAATAAAGTTCATACTTGACGATTTTCTTAACAGTGTACAAAAAATCGGAACAATGGATTCCTTCAGGAACCTACTGAAACATTGATGTTTAAGTGTGTTTAATGCTTCCGATTGCAGAGGTTGTCACGATCCTCTCACTTCTTTCAGGCATTGTCGTTCTTCATGCCTCCAAGCAGTAACTTGCTTTAACTTCTGTGTGAAGAACTCCGAAACCATGTATATGTTTGTAACGTACTACTCATAAGGTTGCTGAAAATCCGTCGATAGCCCACGACCGGTTCCACCCTTTTTGGGGCCATATCACGAATATCGTAGCGACTGGAACATGAGGCAGCCTGGTGCAGCACATTTAGTTGCCTGAGAACATCACAAACGAGAGATTCATTTGGGTTGAGTCTCTCGAAAAAAACAAATTAGTTTGCAAATGAGTGTATATTCGCTAACTCCAAAACCACTTAAATATATACTACCGGCCAATCAGATCAAGACGAGTGATTATCGACAATTTTCCCTTCGGGGTACGTAATTTTGATTCGACTTCAAAGTGAACTGATGTGAACAACTCATTTGTATGGAGCTCTCATTGTCAGTGATGTTAAAGACTGGTAGTGATTTCAAGACAATTAGAGAGAATCCAAATGTATTTTAGCTTGAGATACTGGTTTGGCATATATTGTTCATGTGGCCCATCTCAATATCTCCATGGAAAGTAAGTTGACAAAGTTTGTGGGAAATTCTTCAATGGTGATTTCTCAGCGACCCACGTCTGCACGTCTCTAATGAAGCTAAACTTACTTGCTTACCTCTGCAGCCCCTGTAAGTCCAGTCAAATTGAAAAGACCCTAAAAATGGTACATTACAAACTAAAAACTCCGTCCTTCTATTACCAGACTAGAAAACAGTTTTTAACATAGCCTTTAAGTTTTATCAGTGGAAATATGTTCATTAACATTCAAAATTTTGACCAGCAATTTTTAGCGGGATGAATGGAGTTCCATAGAACTTCTCTCTACAAGTCATAATGTATTTGCGAGGTTGGTTAGAGAACATCCACCCATCCATCCTTCATGCGCGCGATTCCACGGGCTCATGCTGGTCGTTTGGATGATGACACACGGCGGCTCGAGCCTGGCGGACGAACTGTGCTACATCCTGTCACATTGTGAGTGATTCACAGTTCTAATCAGCCGCTCATGGCCAAACGGTTAAATGTGCAGCTAGTAACCGGAATGTCACGAGTTCAAAACCCCATGTAGTTTCGTGGGATGCGTACGGCTACTGATTCTCCATAAGGATGGAATACTTGTACAGTGATTTTTCATATTGAATGGCTCCACTTACAGGACGAAAGTTCCAGTGAATTTCACTCACTATTTCTTATCTCATGTGGGCCAATTTGAATCCACCTTACAAGTTACAACCAAACACGAACACATTCGGGGGTGCGTATAAACGCAATTCTTTTGATATGTTCACTGAGCTACTTAACGTTCCTCGATAACATTTCGTTCACATCAGTTTCAATCTCCCATTGAAAATAGCTGCAACCTAGAAGGCAATTACTGTAATTAAAATTATGTCGAGTTCGCAGTTGACAAATTTGTACTGGATTTTCTCTTTTAATACAATCATCCCGGACATAAATTCGTGAGAACTCAAGCCTATCAAAAGCCTGTCATCGATTTTATAGGTTTCAGGATTTAGCAGGTATTGTCTCGCATTTGTCCATTGTATGTCTCAATAGATTGAAGCTAGAGAAAATACTGACCAGTGGGAGAAATGTAAATTGTGAAAAGAACGAAGGTAGTCAACGATACTTACTTGGTATCACTAGTGTTTTCTCATACGTCGAAAATGACGTGCAGTTGTGAGCCTGCTATCAGACCCAACTTGAAAGATAAACGACCAGGCTCCTTCACTGGCTCCTCTGAGTGCTCAAACTGTCACTACGCCTGGTGCCATTTGTTGGTTATCCAACAAGGTATTGATCAGACGGAATAGATGAGCATAGTAGTGTCTTTTAGTAGTATTTAGAAGAAGCCTAGAACGTGCGCGACCATGCCATACCTGGTGGAGGCCGGTCAAAATTTTTTTGAAGTCATATATAAAATAATATTAAACAAAATTCCCCTGACAGCAGTAGGACTTAGAAGTCAGTTGAGTCCGACAATGCAGTCAGCATCCGTGTATCCGGAATAAAATTGCGTGAACTCTGTTAATGTGTTGGAATATTGGTACCTCGCGTGAGTCTATTTGTTGTTAGTCAGTTTGGTCCCACCCAACTGCGAACTGATGAGGTCTGATCGAATGGTGACGAAACGTTTGCAAGTCATTTGCCAGTTTCGGGGAACAGATCAATTGCGTTAACTCTGCACTTTAGTTTGGCTCGAACACTTCGGTTCAAAAATCCTGTTTTATGTTGGTGCGGTTGATGTGCCTATACCAACTGACCCATGGATTTCGTGTGAGCTTTGCACGAATTTTTTACCAATGATGTTAATTTGTGGTGTATTACAACGAATAACAATAAACAAAAACTTTTTTTGTGATCTTTGTCCTGCTCGCGACATATACAAGTATATTTGATTACTAGAAAAAATAGATTCGGCATTTTTGTATATCTCATCCTTTTTCAATACAGTTCAACTCATTTATCTTTTAGAAATAAAATGCTGCTCACAAAACTGTTAAAATAACCCTAGAGCTTCAGAGGCTCAACAGGTTGCGTGCACTACATTTTGCATTTATTTTGCCCCTGAATATGCATTAAATTATAAAAAAGTAAATGAGCTTGTTTTGCTTTCAACTTTTGTTCTTTTCTGACAGTTTTGAAACGTCTCATACTCTACTTGATCAATCTATTGCAGGCTTATCCAGAACTAATCCCCACATAGACACGAAAAACTTCTAAATACATGGGTGAACTACTTTGAAAGTTCATCTTATGTACTTTTATAATATATCAGGAGTCTTTTACTGGAACTTCGCCGACTACAACAAACGGCTAAACGTACCTGCTGGAAGAACACTGAAGTTGTGAGTTATGTGTGAGTATCTGTCTACTCTGATATCACTTTTACACCAAGCAGTATTAATATCTTAAAAAGCTCCATAAAACTGTTTACGCGGCTCAAAGTTACACACCTTGAGTGCGCTGTGAACCCAACAAATGCCTGTCGCAAATAGGGAATCAGGGGTTCTTGTCACATTCTCAGTACATTATCTGCATTTGACGTACGGCACCGAATGTGGGAGTTCGTCCAGCCTGGCTTATGCAAAAACTGCCGCAGCACAAAAATGGTACAGTATGAGAAGAATTAGAAACAAATTTTTATTCTGATTATTTTTTAACATTTTGAAGGCCTGATACCCACAAATTTTAGACTACGGGTTTAGAACGAGGAAGCGAGTGCAGCTGACAACAAATTCATTCAGAAACCGGATACCAATTTCAGTATGATTATATAGGTGCATTCAAACAACTACGAATTCGGGTACTTTCAAGTTGAATCACATTTAGACCTCATTATTTCGAAGTAATTTATCGGATAGTAACCGAGACGGCTGTAAGTGCTCGCTATGCACAACCCATAAATCACTTTCATTGACTAGCTCCTAGTGCAATTGTAATCTGTCTTCACGTGATTGTGTAGCTGACAGTTAGCGATGGTTTGCAATGACATCAAGCAGGTGATCTCTCCAAATGCATCTGGCAAGTTTTAATCGGAATAGCAAGTTTGGTCTTAGATGAACAGCCACATTGGTTTACCTCTGCAGATAAGCACTCGTCATATTCTTTTTGGTAGTTAACAAAAGTAAGGAAGACTTTCCGACTGAATTTCAATTTTCGCCGCTTCATTGCATGTATCACAGTCATGCATAAAGCCGGATCGACCATTAGAAAAACGCAGAACGGCCTAGGGGCTGCGGGTTTACCCTGAACCTGTTCGACAATGTTTAAATAATGACTTTTTGACGTCTTAGATGATGCTATAGGTCAATGACAACAATGTGAGCTTTGAGGCCTAAAAGGTTTCGGCAACTCAAATTCCGCTTTAGCTTTTTACACCTTTGAAAATGAGCTGCAAGACTGCCGTTTTCAAACTACATTTCACAACGTTGGCAGTTTAATCGGACCAACACTGCTTTAAGTATCAAGCTGGTGATTTTTAGTTCAATAGGATGGAAACATCCTTAAATTATGAGTCTTTTTGTATATTTCCCCCTTAAGGATAATATCAGATTGCCAACTGAAGTTTTACAGTGATTCACTTGCACCAAAAACAAAATCTTTTCACTTCAGGGTTGAGTAAGCTGAACGGTTGTTCATATCGTTTTTATTGCTTTGCGAGATTGCTTGGTCGAATAAAGCTTGAGGCGTAGTGCTTTAAAAGACCTTTGTGACTCCCTTCTAAAAATACTGACCGGTATCTTTGGCAAAGTTTGATCTTCGACTGACGAGAAGATGCACTGTAATTTTCCAACACAGAGAGTACGACGTATATGTCCAAGCTTTGTGCAACTATCCAAGGTATCTTTTTACGTACTGCCTAGTGGCACATCAAATTCCACCTTCGTTGGGACATTCACTGGTGCTAGACTTTAGCCAGACTGCAAAGTGCATTCCCGTGGAGGTGAACCGCAGTTTATTTCTTGTTGTCGTGCATCCGTCCATAACCCGACAATTTTTGGAAGCATCATCAAGATTATTTTCCACTCTTTATTCGTAGTAACAGGCAAACGCAAGTATCAGGAAAAGTCCCCAAGGTGACCGATGAGCGACCTGAACCCATCTGTCGGTAGCTGGATCCCACAAGCCACAACTAGACACGGTCAGTCCAACCGAATTCAGTCCCACGGGTTTATTTTCATGTAATACGTGAACAACAAGTTTGTGTCGCCCACCATGTTTTGTATCTGTTGAGGCTAGTTCTCTAGACAAACTTTGGCGAACTGCATCGGCTATCTGACAGGCCAATGAGTGGTCGGGTTGGAAAGCAAACCTCCGTTGAACAAATGGGAGAACCTTGGAACCTCGTATGGTATATTCGTCCAGGTTTGAACCAAGGTAACTTGCTGCTACCTAAAAATGAGGAAATTCAAAATTTTGGATAGGATCATGCATCAATACAGGTATCATTTATTAAACAGGCAAATCTATCACTATTCTGAATGTCTCTTCTTGTCTCACAATCAACAATGGAAAACCGAGTGTTCTGAGCCCACATCATTTATGACTTGTGTTCCCAAATAATCCAACTCAATTTATCTTCACTTTAGTGCAAAACCAGACGTTTTTGGGAACAGTCCTAACTAACTTTTAAACTCTTTTCGTCTTTCGGGGTCTTGCCGTTGCCATAGCAAGCATTTCGCTCGAACTCATTTACAGCACAGTAAGCTTGATTAGTGGTCGGATATATTTCTATGTGTCACACTTTTAAGCGAAAGTGTATCGACTGGATATATTTTACTAGGAAACCAGGAGATACTGATATATTTAGAGTGAAGTTGTTTGCAATCACAATACCGCATCATATTCGAGGTTCTTTGTGTTGCTTAGAAAAATGACGAGACATTTCATCTCTCCAATGAATAAATTCTCTATCTGATTTATCATACGTCTAATCATTCCTCCGACTATACTGCACTACTTAGTAAAGCATTGCCAAAAGCTACCACTCAACATATATGAATTCAAAGTGACTGCCTTCTTGTCTTGGACGGATTTTTTCTATGGAACCAATTATTCACTCTTTTGGGGATATAACTGCAGTATCAACTATATTTTGAAATGGCTTACTGTTTATTTCCCTTAAGATCACACAGCTTAGTATCTCCTCACGGCTGAAACTTTGTTTCGGTCATTCAGATTTGGTTGCATTTTGTGCGTACATAAAAGCTCTCGCTCCGGTCACCTCAAAATTCCCACATTCCATTGAGTGCAACAATGATTCGAAAATTGTGATCCATTGGTTTTATGCTAATCGAAATAAAGCCCTCATTGTCTTCTGTGGTAGCGTATTTCTACCCGTTTACCAGACTTAATTTCACCAGAGGAGGCAATCGAACAAGCTGTCTATTAAGATATCCAGCAACCAATGACAAGTGAGATCAGGCGGTTATGTGGAAAAGGTCTTAACTGACATCTACCGGTAACTTTTCTGACCGAACAGCTTTCATCAGAGAAACCTATATTTCTACGCCAGCCGTGAACTGACTGTATTCTACGAACCCAGGTTGTATGTTCGTTTTCTAAGCATCCTGCTACTGTCTGTGGATCACAGATGGCCAATGAGATGAAGGCTCATATAGACCAAAATTATAATGGAGACTGCGTCCTTCTGGTATCCACACAGCATCACTTACAGGCAACACCTAATATCCACACTGTGTTCGCTTTTATACCGATGCAACTTTTAACAGCTGAAATGTTCAATGGGACTACAAAATTTAGAGGGGTTGAATGTCGTCAGGTGTTTCTCTAGGCCAGTTGATGCATATTTTTATGTCGTCTGGGAGGCTTCATGCTCTTGTTACCTTTGCACCACCCTAAAATGACATACTTCTCTGAAGAGGTTATTTTCAGCCGTCTGATTCCATTCGGCTAAGAAAATCCTCTATAAAAAGAAGAAACAACTTTCTCAGCATCTAAATAGCACACCCTCTGTGACAGACGTAAAGTTGCGGCAGCACTGGCGAACACGCATAAATGCCGCGTATTAATACGAATCATGACAGAATAAAGAAACCACTCTAGCTGCGTAGGCTCATTGGGGGCAGCTTTCTGTAGTATAACGCATGGCTGCTACAGGACCGACAAAAAGTGTGCGCAAAATCTCCAGGCCTATCAGTATTATAATTTATACAATTATCTGCCACTTTCTTTCCATCTTCCCCCAGAAAAGTGGCAAATATGTTCATCCTTAACATTAAATTCAATGGCGACAGCTGAAGCGAATTGGGCAAAAATCATTACCATGCATGGAGATATGTTTCAAATAATCTCATGAGGCTTACCTCATATCTGTTGCACTGACTATCAAGAATGTAAAATTAGCACAAAAATCATTTCAGTTGTCCGAATACTGGTTGGTAACGGAACTTCTGTCTGCTGGGTGCAAAGTCATCGAAGACGGTTTGTGTTAGATGTCCCTTTAAAGGTTTGGTACATAAAGGAGTCTACTCACAAGGTTGCTGAAAACTCTTCGACAGCCCACGACCGGTTTCGCCCTTCTTGGGGCTCATCAGGTCGGCGCAGTCCCCGAGTTTCCATCAAACGTATGTTCTAATTCAACCTAAATTGGACTGTTTTCAAGAAATACACTCATTTGCAAATCAATTTGGTTTTCACGAGATACTCTGCTGAATCTCTCGTTTATGATATTCTACAACTGAATGTGCTGTGGGCTGTCAAAGATTAGTAGTTTCTTTTATGAAAATATACTGCGATCTCTTGAATATCGTGCCAACTGAATCGTGAGGTGGCCTGTGTGCAGCACATTCAGTTGTAGAAAATCATAAACGAGAACCAAATTGATTTGCAAATCAGTGTATTTCTCGAAAAACTGAATGCTGTTCTTCCATAACCAAAATTCGTGGAGAAAAAACGATGTGGAAATTTGGTTGTGGTATCAAGCACGATATGATCCTAATTCAGCTTACCTGACGTATGATCTCTTCGGCTTCTTTAGTATTGAACTCTCTATTGGGAGCAGGTTGTAACTGATATGTATTCTCAGTAGGTGCATTGCTAGCCAGTAGCATCGGTTCCCAGCTAAGCGTGCTGTGAACAGAAGACATTCGACGACCATGAACTGATGTGGCCGATAATTTCAGCATGTTTGACGACTGCTTACGACTGGCGCTCATCTCTGGCCCGACCTCCGCTTAAGCTGCAAATATCACAGTTTGAACGTGAATCCGTTACCAGGATTCTGACGGCAACAAACGAAACCAGTATCTCACTCGATTTTACTTGTTCACTGTGACCGTCGTCATGGGGATTAAGAATTCTGTTCACTTTCTGATTGGTCAGCTAGGAGGTGAACATGCGTCCACCCACTTCCTGTGCAGCTGGTTGATATGGTGAGCGACATAATATTGGTCAAATCATGGCATTGAGATGCTGAAAAGTAGTGAAGACGATCCACACAAGTGTGCTATGTTGTTCTCCTCAAGTTTATGTTTCATTCGTGTACCCATAGGTCCTTATTGAGTACAGATTCAATGACAGGAAAACAAAAAATATAAGAAAGAAAATCTGAATATCAAATCTGAAGGGAAAATTTCTCCCGAATTTCGTTTCTGATAGGAGAGTGATGCACAGAGGGATAGAAAATTCCCTAATAAAGAATCGGAGTTGTGTCACCATAAGAGCGGGTGTTGAGCGTTTTCAGCCGAGCGGTGGCTTCATGAAATGTACGCAAATTGTTAAAAGCGTTTTCTCTGATTGTTTGTGTTAACGTGCGGTCGGCATACAGTGAGTGAGTAAATGCGAAATTTTCAAACAAGCGGAGGGAACTATATCTCAGCTACAAAAACGGTATTGGAGAGGCGCCTTGTTCGACAGATTGCCATAACCCATTGTGAATAGTGGAGGAAATGCAGGTAAAATAATATAAGGAGGGAACGTTAATTTTCGAAACGGATAAAGTCTTCAAGTTATTGAGAAATTTAGCTTAAAACCACCTCATCGGCTGTAGGATGCAACGTTGGGAGTGGAAAGCAAGTTGGGTATGTTGGGTACTGCAAGACGTCGAAATACGCCAGTGACTAGAAACTCGTATCTACATAAAATGCACCGCGCAACTTACCACATCATTCTCTTCAGTTAACTTCTTTCGAAATATGTTTATTATACTAGCAGTAAACTCGGGATTCCCATACAGACGCCCAGGTAGTTTGCACAACCATGTCAGCTAATGCAGATAGTTTGAAACTTTCTCTAGTCCCCGAAAATCTGTCTAATTTTACTCATCGGTGGCCATTTCACCTTTCTCTGTTCTGTCTGATTAGTCACCCAGAGCTTTGCTATCATGTAATAAAACAGAGTCATCAATGGACTAGTGTTAACAGTCGATACTTCATCCAACCCTATTAGTTGAGTGCAGTTCAACGACAGTCATTTATGTCGGTGAAAGGCTCAGCTGTTGTCCAGCCCTGGACAAAACTTCCTACATAACCTAAATCTTGGCATTTTTCCACTTTCGGGTTATCAGAGTAATCTATTCCTCTCTTTCTCTCTAACCGGTTCAACATTTGGTCGTTCCTGCTGCAGCAATACGAAAAAGTTGCCTAAAATAGATCTTCACCGAAAGACCAAACGTTCATTATAGTGTTTCCACAAATCTTTTCAACCAAAGTGAACAAACTTCATTTCATATTTGAGAGACCGGAGTGTTTTATTAATCAAGACGTCGACTTTAAAACCCTGAAGTGGAAGCCATTGGACTAAGCTTTTATTAAAGGCTTGAACAAGTTTGTACAATTGGTTGGAAAAGTTTGCTCACCCACGAGTAGACTCACACTCCATTGCGTATCTTGTGAGTTGAAGTACACACCATTCATGGGACCACACGACGCACCGAAACCTTGATTGACAAATACATTAAGTGTTATTCAATAAAAGTATACTTCTTTGCACAGATACAAAGAAGTGAATTAAGCCCTCAATTACTGCCTGCACTTTGAGATGTTTGAAAAAGGCTGACCATCAAGACATTGAAGTTGGGCCATAACTGGCAAAATATCTGGTGCTTTTCGAGTGTTTTAGTTTAATTCTCATCAACTCAGTGATAAATTTACCAGGGCTGGGAATGAGAGGGTCGCCCGGGAGGAGGTGCTATTTCGCGAGACAACTGATAGGACTCCTGTACACCGTACAGTTGACTTTTGTATGTGTTAGGCTCTTCTTTTGGTCGCAGCATAATTGTTCACGTATAAAGCAATCTCGCCCTTACACAAGAAAGAATGAACACCTTAGCCATATAGTTCTTGTTCGGGTCATAAGTGTCCATTAATTTTTTTTACCAATGTGTGTTACTTGCCAACTACGGGTGACTCAGAGTGGTCCTGTCGACAACCAGCCCGTATCTTGTGCGGCTCCTAGCTGGAACATTTACCGTTCATCAGAATTTCATTGTATGTGTCTCGAGTCTTTTATTTATGCATAAAACACTAACATAAGCGATGAGTGTTTTGAAACGACGGCGACTTTGAGGCAGTGCTATTTTTACTTTAAGTGTTGTCTGAGTTTCTTATTCAATTTCTTCTCCGCCTGAAGAAGCTCGTTAGTGTGCTGCTTGTAGGCTTCGAATACCTGGAATGAAGTGCAAAGCTATTATGTTGCATATATTTGTATAAGCACAGGTAAACAAGTGTAAACAATTAGACATGGTTCTGGTCGCCCTCGACAAATGACGCAAACTAAAAACCGTATATAGACAAAGTCTTGTGTTTTTTAAAAGAAAATATTTAGGTGTAAAGACTATCCGGTTTGGTGAAAACGTCTTCACATCCCAATTATTTAAAGGGTAAACATAAAGACTTGCTCTTAAATTTTGCCGGTATAAAATTTATGAGTCTGTGGCAGGGTTGGGTTTGTAAGCGTAGGAGTTTTCACGTAAAACATTAGGCGTAAAAACGAAGAGGTCTGGTCCCGAAGGCGACCAATACATCTTTTATCAAACCGCGTGGGAATATTAAAGCAAAATCTTTATACAAATGAGTGGAGAACAATGGCGACATTTGCTAGGTAGTGAAAAGACGAAACTTCTAGTCTTGTAAAGTGAACAAAATCAATAGATTGCAGCACATCAGAAAAGAGCACAAACGACAAACCCATTATGTTTAATATAAAGGGCAACAGATGTAATAACATAGACTGACTTACATCAAGTGGAATTCAGGTATCTACAGCCACTATTATCAAAATACAGGTAGGGTCAGTAAGTGTTCTACAAATGCAATACTTATATTATAGAGTTGCACTCAAACCTGTCCGGAACGCGGTCTCAAGTTATGTTCCATTGTTTGGTATGGTCTTAGTGTAACAGGGATTATATGGCCTTCCAAGACGAGTGCTTCTCTGACGGTGATATTTGCTGTGTATCGTATTTGAGGTCACAGTTTGAATACGAAAGTGTAGCAGCAGCTTCCTTTACTCAACTTCAATAGAATCAGCTGTATTTCCTCATCTTATTATTTGAAAACTAATTTGCGTTAATTCTTATGGTTAAGAAATATGAAAGATGTTATGCATAAAAAACTTTTTTTGGACTTTAAAGTTTGAAATTGAAGCATTCAGTACGTCCAATGTAACAATATTTAGGAGTCTACAAGGGAGCTCTAAGTCTAAACATGAGTTCACAACAACGACAGACGTAACCCCACCACTACAACGCAAATGATACGTGGGTTTTTCTTCTCAGTAATAACTTTACACGAAGTGGGGTTTTTTAGCGAGGATCTTTAGGAGGAGAAACCCGGAAAAGCGGGAGTGGTCCCAGCGCTTTGCCAGTATTTATTCACTAGACAGAACGCCCCAAGTGAGAGGGTAATTTGTCAAAAATGAATCAGGTCGTAAAACCGATTGTTCTGCTCAGCCGATGTGTTCGACAAAGATGGAAATCTCTCTTACAGATCAATTAAGTTGCCAGAATTGATGATAAATTCAGATCGCGTGATTGTCTCGCCTAGCAACGAGTGTATCGGGATCAATCTTTCGTCATTCGGATGCCTTTACCGAGTAAATAGCTTCGGGCTATAGCTTGTTCCGTTTCTATACGTCCATTTTTATACCATTTAGCAAAGGATTAGTATCACAACGATATGCCTCATACTACATCTGTAGAGTGAGGTTACCATTTTTCTGTTTCCAGATCAGTTCATCAGCCTAAGAGACGACGGCTGCACGTACCGAAGAGCAGATCAGCCACTTCACGGCAAACTGCCCCATTCAGTAATCCTATTGGGTGAAGGACTTCTATGTTAGGAAACTAAGATTAGCTCGACCGAGTGTGAAACGAATAAATAATGACAAACAACCTTGGATATATTGGTTTGTCGTGGACGCAGGCATGCCTATCCAGATCAAAGCTCTTGCTCTTGTAAGACCAAGTGCTCATGGTCAAGCCCACTTTTGTTCTACTTGTCTAGCGAGAGGGATCCTCTGAAAGTCACCATGCCAAATGAACCGTTCAAATCTGAATTGCACTTGTTAATTTCCATTAATATTCGGCATCATCATACGTGAGGATCCCAAGGAATAATTCATTTTTTATCCAAGTGATTCAGCTTCATTTGGTGCCTCTGTATTAACTCAGTCGCTTTCATTACCGAACTTCTTCGAAAGCTAAAGTGTGAACCCGGCGATCGATTCAACACCTGGTCGCCAGCCTGTAAACGTGTTCGATTTATCGGTAGTGCGACATATCACTGACAGTCTATAGCTAAATAGTGCCGTTCCACTTTATTTATACTCAGATATTTACCCAAATTAAAGTGCATTTCATTCAGAAAGCACACACGCATGTATCACTTACCTCCCGTAAGTTCTTGTACCGTGCATCTGCTTCGTCCAGTCGGTTGTTGAGCCGTTTAATTTGTTTGTTAGCGTTTAGTGCCTCTGCGTCCTTCCTAAAAAACAGTAGAGTGGAGCAAGGAAACAGCCAGCGTTTAACCCATCACATTTGAGCTGGGAACAACTATGTGCAATATCACCGGTCATTTATAGTACAACTATGTTGGATAGCGCAACCTCCTCAAATGTGGGTAAATTACAGTGTACTGCCTACGGCTTCGTTTACGTATAATGCTTCCAGAGGGCTCCACTGCCCTTTCTGAGTACGCAAGCTGCCCTTTTTCCCCGTAATGATATTTAGTGGAAGTCTACGTTACAGCATCACCTGCTGTAATGTTCAATAAGCTTTTCTAATAATATTTCAGAAAATTGTATACTTGACATACCACAGCGTTAACCTAAAAAGCTAACTAAATATTCTAGAATGTCACGAGCGGCACATACCTAAGAATGAAATCGAATCATCAATTTCATTCAACTTACTGAAACACAAATATCAAATGCCTGGGCCCCACTGCAAGTAAGCGCTTACGGAAGATTGATCGGATTAGCACAAGTCCGGTAATGATAAGATCTCTTATTTGAATCGGCTCACTGGGATTTCTTTCGGCCAACTACAGTTCAGCTGGACAAATATGACAATAGCTAGTGTGCCGCTGTAGGTTACTTGCAAAACCCACGAACAGTACCTATGTACACTTCCAGTTGCTTTCCCTGCATTTAAGTGGTCTCTGGGCTAGGGGTATTTTGGTTGTTCGAATCTATATCCTTAATGACTTGAAATATTTAGATGATGTCCTGAAATGATCAGTGACATACCTGAATTTCTCAGCCTTTGTGCAAATGGATTGCTCGGTTTCGTGTTCAATTATCTGTAGTAATTACTACTGATCAATAGCCATGTTTTCATGAAAATATAACGCGATTTCAGTGAAAATTTACTCGCTTTAGCTGTTCCTTGCCTTATAGTGTCAATGTAGACTTTGATACATTTTATCTGTGCAGTTAACAGATATCTTCAAACAGTTGGGAGTTAGAAAGATTGAAGATGACTTACAAAAGACTGACAGGACGCTGGTAATTTCGGTGACAGTCTGAGAACTCAATCACATGACACTTACTTTCGAAGCAAGTTTAGTCCTTCAATTTCCTTCTGTAGGTCAGAGTTCTGTTGTTGCAGTTGTTGAGTTATACGGTTTAATTCCTGTAAAAAAAAGTGTGACATTAACTGCTGCCGTTAAGTGAACGTTTTCCATTGTTAGAATATTATCAATTAAACGAGTCAGCAAGCTCAATAAACTGAACCCAGGGAGCTATTTGAAAACAGGCTTGTCTCACGTAAAACCATAGAGAAGCCGTACGTCGACACGTACCCCAAAGACACATGCGTGCTATTTGTCCGCTCAAATTTATAAGAACCTGTTTGAGCGCAGAATTTCACATAGGTCTCAATATTCGGGCTGGATTGGGGGAAAGAAACTCGACACATCTATCATCCCTACATATGGATTGATACATATGTTCCGGGATAATCCTGCATACTGGGTGCTAATTGTCGAATACGAAGTTCACAAAATATAGTCAGACCTCTTGGTAGGAAAGTAATAGTTGCGAATGTCGTATTAGGCTAACTTTTGGCGGGTCTGTCAGTTTATGGTCAACGTACCAGAAAGATTTGAGCTGTGTTTTCCGAACTCTAGTTGTGAAAAGCATTTGTCTTGTGTATTGATTGTCAAAATATACTTTCAGTTTGCCTGGCTATTTGAACGGACAGTACGGAATTGTATAGCGTTCATGACTAGTCTAAAGCATCTATTCCTCTAAGGGAAATGCATGCCCAAACGAAAAAGCCAGACTGAAGCAAATCTCAAAGGAGGTTGGCCGGAAAATGTTCGCCGCACTTGTCTCCACCTTAGATCCTAGTGTAACTGACTTGTAACTGACTAATAAATTTCCTGCTGGGTTTCGGAAAACTTAAGATGAAAATTGGCTGAAAGTGAGATGTTGTCCACTTTGCATGATCTTGCCAAAGATCTATTTGTTTGTATTGGTTTTTGGAGCGAGCTGATCGTACCAATCCGTGATAATCGGTCGACGGGTGAACTCGGCTGTCTAGAACTCGACTGCACGCTCAAGTGGAAGAAGCTTGCTCCACGAAGAAACCGTCTATCTATGAATGACTCAGGGATGTGCCTTCAGGAGGGAGACCATAGATTCACAGTTGTTCATCGAAACATTTATTCCTCAAACGTCTTGAAAAAATTTCTACCTTCATTCATACAAAAGCTCCAACGTAAAAACCTAGATGAGTGGAACTTTTAAGAATTAATATATTCGACAATCAGTATTTCAGTGGACATTTCATCATATAGCGGCGAGGCACTGCATATCCGTTTCGTTAATGTTACGAATCACCGGTAGTGTGATTCCCCAGAGTCATTTAACTCGCCAAAGGTTAGGAAATAAACACCGTATTATTTGATAACAAGCGGCTGACACGTAGTGTGGATAAGGTCCAACTTGATAGAATACAGCTCTAGAATTCCATAACCAGTCAGTTACTGTCTCGCGATTCGGTAGTTACGTAGCGGCTTCTCGGACGATAAACCCCGTGCAACTTCTTTGAATCTTTCCCTTGTGTGCAGTTTACTTGAAATTTGTGGATATTGATAAGGTTTCAGAACCGTACTATAAAACTGCCACAAAAATTTGAAGTTCGGAATCCACCGTTCATTCGATCTTACTGAATCACACCACACAACACCTTTGCTTACAGCTTTTCGTCTGCAAGGTTCAGTTTACTTTTTAGGTGAAGTGATCACACACTAGGTGGAGGCGTTGCATAAAATGACGGATAATTTAGGTCAGTCGCGTTCGCCACTTTCATTCCAGATTGTTTTATTGTGGTGACATGTGACACTCCAGAAGATCGCGGTGAGCTTGCAACGCGGCTTTTCTCTGTCCACTCATTTTCTTCCCCGTTTTGAAACAATAAACAAAAAACAAGGGTTTCAGGTAGAACATAAAGTTGACGGAAACTCGGGAACTGCACCTACCTGATGAGCCCCAAGAAGGGCGAAACCGGTCGTGGGCTGTCGACAAATTTCCAGCAACCTTACGAGTAATGCATTACTAGTAAAACTCTGTCTTTGTGTGTCAGGGTAGCGCTAGTGTCAGCACTGATTCCAGCAGTGACTCTGCCATGTACATTGACTCCAAGTAGTTATTTGCCTGATAGAGCTGTTTCATTGGGGAGAATCCCATCTTTTTGTTTGGTCACGATAAGCTGATCACTAGTAATATTAACCCACTCCACTTATCATTTACCTGGAAAGCTCATCCGCTCACTCGGAATCCAGCGACCAATTAGGAGAGCATTGAAAAATGTAAGACTACCAAGCCTGTTGGACTACTCTTTCGTAACCGTCAACGTTTGCCCTATATGCATCACCTAAAGTGAGTTGATGATTATCAGTGCTCATTTGTGGGCCACGAGACATTGGACCCAATTTCAGTCTGACACCAGCAGTCAGATGCCGAGCAAATTAATACCTAATTGCGAACGGTGATAGAGTGTCTTTTGAGCTTGTAGGACAGATCTCAAAAAATGGCGAAGTCAGAGACCGTTGTGACGGAGCTTCCCTCCAAACAGCGCAAAAATCATATTTTAAAACAAGTCAAATTCATCGTTTCAGAGGGTTTTGGTAAACAATCGGTGGATTTATTGTTT